ATATATATTAATGCTTATGCGTTGCTTCTCTGAGACAATGAATATAATTGTTTTATTCTTAAGATGAATCACTTATGACTAGGGCGTTGCTTCAGTCATCAGTTCATTTACGTTTTGTTTGCTTTATTTGTCCTTATAACGTTAAGCTCTTTGTAAAATACAGGGTGTGTGATTTAATTTAGTACTTTGTTAAACGTTTAATCTTGTTTTGTACAGATAAGAAAGATGTTGATCATGAGACTGAGGTTGAGGAGCACATTATTGGAGAAAACTCTCCTCCTGACTACTCCGAGTATATGACAGGCAAGAAACTGCCCCCTGGTGGCATACCTGGTATTGACCTGTCAGACCCCAAACAGCTGGCGGAGTTTGCCAGGTGGGTATTCAGCCAAAAGCTTGAAACTTTATTACAGCATTTATTGATTTCTTTGGCGTAGAGTTTTATAGTAGGCTGTAAGCCTGAGATTTAATGCAGATTTTAAACTCCACTGGTCCCAGGAAATAAAATGATCCATTTATTTATTGTGCAGTATATTTGAAAAAACATCAAAAAAAAAAAAAGATTTGAAACTTGTTAAACCTATGAACATACATGTATATAGGTGGTTTACAAATCAAAGCCATTTAGCATTTTTCTGTATTCAAAAGCAATGAATTTGATTTGCTTCATGTATTTTATTCATTATTTAACTCGTAGAATTAAGCATGCATACAAATGTCTTCTCCTGAATGTTTTTCACAATACAGAATGAAGCCCAGGAAAATAAAGGAGGACGACTCTCCAAGGACGATAGCATGCCCTCACAAAGTGAGTTTTTTATCGTTCATGAGAATTCTGTAAAATTTCTGTAGTAGAACTGCTGATTTAGGATATTGTTCGTCAACTTAAAGATTTTAACAAATGAATCCAGTCACCTTCATTTTTTAAATTTTATTTATTATCAGGATTTTTAACATTTTAGTTGTTATGTGTTATCATAGGGTTGCACAAAAATGTTTCGGGACAACTCCGCTATGAGAAAGCACTTGCACACCCATGGGCCACGGGTTCATGTCTGCGCTGAATGTGGGAAGGCGTTTGTGGAAAGTTCCAAGCTAAAACGGCATCAGTTGGTTCATACTGGCGAAAAACCTTTCCAGGTATTTTTTTCCCCTCTTTATATTAATGTTCTAAAAAGTTTAATGATGCTGTTCAATTTTAGAAAACTGAAATATGTTAAATATAAATAATAAATGTGCTTTTTATTCTTTTCCTCCCCAGTGTACATTTGAGGGATGTGGAAAGCGCTTTTCATTGGACTTTAACTTGCGCACACACGTGCGGATTCACACTGGAGACAGACCTTACGTTTGCCCGTTCGATGGCTGCAATAAGAAATTCGCTCAGTCCACCAACCTGAAGTCTCACATTTTGACACACGCGAAAGCTAAAAACAATCCGTGAGATGGCTCGCTGAAGAAAGATCCCTTAAAGACTCTGTCTGACCACAGCTTCCTGCTCCAAAACCCACTTTGTATGTCGTTTCTAGAACCATTCTTTTCTAAGAATCTCAGTGCACATTTTGATGGGAATTGAAATGTGAATGAGGACCTGACACCAAACTATCCCGTCAACCTTCTCACGGTATAGACCCGAGTTAAATAACTTCCCGAGTTATGAGAGTTTCTTCTTTTGAAGATGTGATTGTTTTTGTGGACCCTCATTCGCATACAAGATGCTCATTAACCTGAGCCCAAAGAAGCAAATTGCCCATCGGTGTGTCTGTTTCTACCAGTTTGCAAAGACTAAGACTGCTTTTTAGATGTCTTCAAAGTGTGCATATTGTACACTTTTTAGAGAGTAGAGCTGTCAATGTGTGTGTGTGTGTGTGTGTGTGTGCGCGCGTGT